TTCATTTTCTGGCATATATCTGTCCAATTTTCCCAACACCAATTATTGAAGAGACTATCTTGGCTCCATTGTATGTCATGCCTCCTTTGTCAAAAATTAATTGAGCATATTGGTTCGGGCTAATTTCTGGACTCTCTATTCTATTCCACTGATCTATATGTCTGTTCTTGTGCCCAGTACCAGGCAGTTTTGAGAACAGTGGCTTTTGTAATACAGTTTGATATCTGGCATTGAGATCCCACCTACTTTGTTCTTTCTCAGGATCGCTGCGCGGGGGGAAAGGACACTTATGTAATACCCTTTGTAATACTTATAGCGAAAGATCAAAAAAAAATATATATATAAAAAAAAAGAATCCTCAAGCATCTAGGCAGAAGAAAGAAATTATGTAAAATGTAAAAATGAAAAAAAAAAAGCAACATTAAAAACCAGGATATAATGGAGCAGCGGCTTTAAAATGAAACAAGAAATCATTTATGGGTGGCACAAAGATGGTCATTCTCAGATACTGAAACTGTCAGAAATTAGCTTTCAAGATACTTTCCTGCAAAATCTTACTTGAAGATGTTTCCTTCTAACCCTCAATTGAAAAAATAAATTTGGCAAAAATCACAAACTCCTAAGTTATTAATGAGCTAGAAAACCAAGTCAAGAAGTTAGAAAAAGAACAAAAATTTAACTATTTTATTTTCTCCAAAAAAAGCAGAAGACAGAAAATAACTAAGTGCAGAAAGTAATGTAAAAGAAAATAAAGAAGATCAATTAAATCCAAAGTCAGTTGTTTAAACAAGATTAATAAAGTAGCAAAACTTTAGACACAATTTTGTTAGGTTAGGACTAAAAGAAGATGCAGATAGCAATGGAAGGATTGATGCTGTTATATTCACCTTTTCCATTAAGTTATCATCAAGGATATAACTTTAGTTCAATATTTGTTATTTTGTTTTTTTGAGGGTACAGTAAGCTAGAAAGTGTTACAGGATTTTGCATGGAAAAACAGAAAATTGACTCTTGTTTTTCCTTATCCTATACTAGAGGCCCAGTGCACAGATTTGTGCACTGGTGGGGTCCAGCCAGCCCGCCGTGATGGGGGCCATTAGCGGTGGGCGGCTGGGGTGAGGGGCCATGGGCAGGGCTGGCCAGGGTGAGGGGCCCGTAGGCATTTTGGTCGTTCTGCCATTCAGTCGATTTTCATATTAGCTTTTTATTATAGAAGGATAATATGTAAATCAACCAAATGGTGGAATGACTGGTTGCTATGATGCGCACTGACCACTAGGGGCAGACGCTTAATGCAGGAGCTGCCCCCTGTGGTCATTGCACTCCCACAGGGGAGCCTCCGTGTCAGTGCTAAGGATGTCCTACTGACCGCTTAGACCCGGGCCTAAGCGGTCAGTAGGACATCACCCAAGGGCTCCTGGACTGTGAGAGGGCACAGGCTGGGCTGAGGGACCTCCCCCCCCCCCCCCGCCCACCCTGAGTTCATGAATTTTGTGCACCGGGCCTCTAAGTGAAACTATAAAAGGAAAATGGGGTGATTCTTTTTCTATTGTTAAAATTCTTGGGGGAATTTTCTGGTAGAGGAAAGTATATGTTTCTACTTTTACTCAAAGTAATAGAATAGTAGGGGAGTATATAAAATCTAAGTTCTTTATCAAATGACACATTTAGTAATTTTATTAGAAAAATAAAATACAGAGTCCTGGCTATTAGTGGTTAGAGCATCAGCCGAGCAGTAAAGCGTCTAGGGTTTGATTCCAGGTAAAGGGCACATACCTGGGATTTGGGTTTGGGGAGACGTGCAGGAGGCAACCCAGTGGATGTGCCCTTCTCATAAGGATATTTTTCTTTCTCCTCCTCTCTCGGTCTCTCTTTCTCGCCGTCCCAACTCCCTCCTTTCCACTCACCCTGAAAAGCAATGGAAAAAATGCCCTGGGGAGAGAATTAACAACAACAAAAAAGAAAAAGAAAATACAGAGTTAAATCTTTGTTGTCATCCGCATAAAACAAGATTTTTTTATTCTTTGCAGGAATCTAATCCTTTATCCCTGCCGACAACAGATACTTCAGATGATTTATCCAGTGAGAATTTCATAGGTCGTCTTGATAGGATTGCCCAAAAGGAAAGACTCTCTGTAAATTATGAACAAAGAAGTGAATTGAGCCCCGGTGGGGCCGGAAGGTGAGATGAAGTCGGGTTTTTCCTTCTGTTTCATTGAATCTAAGCAATAGAATGAGCTTATTTCCATGTCTAATTTTATGGAAATGTTTGTCCTTTTTGTACATTTTGCATGGAAGGTTTTACAGGACTTATAAACTATTGGACAGCTTTGTAATTAAAATGTTAAAATACTTGAATGCTGAAAGCTTGGAACCCATCTAGCATAATTGATCAAATCTGGGCAATCCTTTATTTCTGAGGCCTATCTGGATGGTTTAATCTGCAGGACCCCTAGGAGTGTCCTGTATGAAGGATGCAGAGATCTCTCCAGCCCTGAGATCATAAATGGGAGTGGCTGCGTGAGGACGGCCCTGCCACACGATGAGAGCTCTGTCTGTCCAAGCGCTCATCTTTCATGTTTGTTTAAGTGGTGTCCCTCTGAAGATTGATTCCATGTATTAGGAGGAATAGTATTTCGTCCTAGACCAGGGGTGGGCAAACTTTTTGACTCGAGGGCCACAATGGGTTCTTAAACTGGACCGGAGGGCCTGAACAAAAGCATGGATGGAGTGTTTGTGTGAACTAATATAAATTCAAAGTAAACACCATTACATAAAAGGGTACGGTCTTTTTTTTTTTTAGTTTTATTCATTTCAAACGGGCCGGATCCGGCCCGCGGGCCGTAGTTTGCCCACGGCTGTCCTAGACTATGAGGAGACCAGGATTTGAGGAATATGATGAGGGGGACAGATTAAGAGTTTCAGGTACTGAAAATGTCACCAGTGAGCTAAGACTTAAGTGAGGATAAAGAATGGACTGGGCCCTAGCTGGTTGGCTCCGTGGATAGAGCGTCAGCCTGTGGACTGAAGGGTCCGAGGTTCGATTCCAGTCAAGGGCACTCAAAAGCACGCGGCTGGGTTGCAGGCTCGATCCCCAGTAGGGGGCATACAAGAGGCAGCCAATCTATGGTTCTCTATCTCTCTCTCCCTCTCCCTTCCTCTCTGAAATCAATTAAATATGTATATAAATGGACTGGAACTGAGAAAAACAAACCAATGAGCATAAGGGAGATTGTTTCTCAGCTACAACCAGTCAATTAAATAAGAGAAAAAAATCTAAATGCAAATAGCCCAAACAATCACTTTAAGATACTGTTCTCTGAATTGATGGAGCTATTCATGTTTGACTTTTTACTCCCATGGCTTTTAGGCCAGACGAGGAAGAGAAAAATGTGATGGTATGAAATAGTCAAAAGTGAATTCTGTGGGTCAGGCTCATAAATTATTTTACTTTTCCTTAGCTTAGCTGTTTGTTTGCTATGAATTAGGTACTCTAACATTAGATTCCTAAAAGACAGAAGTCTTCTTAGGAGGTGCCTGGGAAAAATAGGAACTTATAGAAGCGATGAAGTCACTTAGCTTAGCCCCCTAATTCATTCTCCCTTTAGGACCTAGAGGAGAAGTCTCACACTGGTTAGCTGTATTTCTCTCTCTAATAAATATATATTGGAACAATTTTGTGGTAATCTATAGTAACTCCATGATACTGACCATGTGCATTGCTTTGCCACCTTAAAAATAATTCTTATGCCTGGCCAGCATGGCTCAGTGGTTGAGCATCGATATATGAAGCAGGAGGCCACGGTTGGATTCTCGGTCAGGGCACATGCCCAGGTTGTGGGCTTGAACCCCGATATGGGGCATGCACGAGGAAGCCGATCAATGATTCTCTCTCATCATTGGTGTTTCTATCTCTCTCTCTCTCTCTCTTCCCTCTCTGAAATCAATAAAAATATATTTTAAAAAGTAATAATTATTATATAATTGTCCAAGTGTCCTGGCCTAACCACAAATGTCCTTACATTCATATGAGGAGGAGTGGGCTTCAGCCTGAGGGGTTTTGCACTATGGGGATTTTTCTTAGAATTTTGTGCAGATAGTGGGGGCAGGAAATGCTGGGGTTAGAGCAGAATCCTTGCTTTGCTCATTCCCCACAAAACAGCGCAACCTCATTGTTTCTCCTGTAGAAGCCCCGTTTTTTTTACTGGCTTTTTCTTCCCTATTTGAACATCTCTGAAAAATTTGCCGATCATCTCTTTTCCATTTCTGCCTTCATATGTTTTGACCTTTAGGGAATTTTTTTAAAAAATATATTTATTTATTGATTTCAGAGAGGAAGGGAGAGGGAGAGAGAGATAGAAACACCAATGATGAGAGAGAATCATTGATCGGTTGCCTCCTGCACACCCCCTACTGGGGAATCAAGCCAGGCATGTGCCCTTGACCGGAATCGAACCTGGGACCCTTCAGTCCGCAGGCTGATGCTCTATCCACTGAGCCAAGCCGGCTAGGGCGACCTTTAAGGAATTTTTAAAAATCACCACTTAGTGCCTTTATGCCAGATCTTTGAAGGAAGCAACAAAAAGTTAGAAGTTGCCTGGAAAATGCAACCTGAAATGTCAGCCAATCCTGGTTATTCTGACAAATTGGTCAGCTTATTGAAGATTTAAATTAAAAGACATGAAATAGAAAGCTACCTTAGTGTGCTTTAAGGCCTTTATTGATGTGTGTGTGTGTGTTTTCAAATCATAAGTTAGATTTACTATTTTTTGGTATTTCAGTAAATAATGTCCATCATTTTTCCTAGTTTTTTTTGTAAATGCAAAATTGGACAGAAAGAATATCCTGGTGCTGTAGGTTCTACTAAACAGAAGGCAAAACAGTTGGCTGCTAAACTTGCATATGAAAAGATACAATTAGAAAAAAGCTCAACGGTACGTACTGCCTTTGGATGTATTTCTTGTACTTTATAATTTTCTCTGAAATTGCTTTGAGATTTGACTGTGCTTGCATGATGTCAAGACAACCAATCACATAGCAAAAAGATTCCTCGATTCCGTGTCCCACCTGTGTCCCATGCGTTAATCTCCTAATTGTGTGTGGCTGTGGATTTGGTAAATGTGGAGGAATGGATGTGGCAGTTAGCACACGGAGACCGAGCCACTGTGGAGAAGCATTTAGCTGTAGTTACACCCCCTGAGGGGCTCTCTTTCTTCCAGAAAGGTGATTCGGGATCCGCTGACGCTCCCCTGGCTGGGTCCAGTGACTGTGGGAGCAGCTTCTCGATGGCACCGTAAGTGTGTACAGACAGCTGTGATATTTAAGAAATTCAAATTGCTGCCTGAAAGAGCACATTTTTATGAAAAATGTTTATTGTTTAAAAAGAATTTAGGGAAATAAGTTACTTACCAACAAAAATAGACAGAATTCATAAACTAATAATTCCTCCCTTTTCTTCTAGCAATTCTGAATCATCCTCTGAAAGTGGCTTTTCAGGAAATGGATCAGAGAGAAATTATAACAGTGACAGAGTTAGTAATGCTCTTTCATCTTCTGTGGTACAGTATTCGTCTCCAAACTTCCTAGTTAGTCTGAATCCCCTTTGTGCTTCCTCACTTAAAAATGACCTTCAACATAATTTTTCTATTTTTATCTCCTGTGCTCTCACTACCTAATAATATTTGGGGCTTTTGACTCTCTTCTTTCTTTATGAACCCACATCCCTCACGTGTAGAATTCTCCCACTTGTCACATCCATCTTTCTCTCCCTACTGGCCTTCATATTTTCAAATATTCCTGTGATCTTGCTTTTTATCTTATACCAGCTGAGCAGTAATTAAAAGACTCATTCATATAGCTCTGCTTCTGTTTTTAAAAAATCAGAACTAAACTTAAATAAAAACGAAATAAATAAGATAAATTTTGCGGTAATGATTAGTGTTACAAAAGTTATTCTATTTGTAAGGAACTACAAATCAATAAGAAAAAGACAACTCAGTAGAAAAATATGCAAACAATCTGCACAGAAAATTCAAAGAAGAGATACCCAGATGGTCAAATAACATATGAAATGATATACAATTCAAAAGAACAGTTAGATGCTATTTTAAACTCATCAAGTTGGTAAAATTTGAGTCTGGCAATAGTAAGTATTGACACAGCTATGTTCCCTTATCCTATATAATAAAACCCTAATATGCAAATCGACTGAATGGCAGAATGACCAGTCGCTATGACTCTCACTGACCACCAGGGGGCAAATGCTCAATGCAGGAGCTGCCCCCTGGTGGTCAGCGTGCTCCCACAGGGGGAGTGCTCCTCAGTCAGAAGCTGGGCTCAGCTGGCGAGCGCAGCCGAGGAGCGGGCCTAAGCCGGCTGTCATACATCCCCCAAGGGGTCCCGGACTGCGAGGAGGCACAGGCTGGCTGAGGGACTCCTTAGTGCACGAATGTTGTGCACTGGGCCTCTAGTAACTATTATATGCTGCTGGTGCAAGTAGAAATGAGTACAACCATTTTGGAGAACAATTTGTCAACATGTAGTAAAGTTGAGGGTGTACATGCTATAATGCCAAGGAGTTCCCTTCCTGGGGATATTTCCTAGAGAAACACATGCATGTGTGCACAGAGAAACAGGTGTAAGAATATTCTGTGCAACATTGGATGTAATGGGAAGAAATTAGAAAAAAATATTGCTCATGAACAGAATGGCTAAATTACTCTGTAGTGTAGTCATCATGCAATACTGAGGCTGGCGGGTGATATGAGCACAAGAAACTTAGTCTGATGCTCCCCATTCTGTATCACTATATTTAAGTTGAAAAAGAAATCCACAAAATCTACCAGAATAATAGTGAATATGAATGAAAATAACTAGGACATTAATTTTTGAGAGATATATTGAAGATTCCAGCTTTTTGCTAAATATAGAAATTAATTTGTACTAAAAATGAAATATCAGCATTGCACTTTTTAAAAAAATATATTTTTATTGATTTTTTACAGAGAGAGGAAGGGAGAGGGATAGAGAGTTAGAAACATCGATGAGAGAGAAACATCAACCAGCTGCCTCCTTCACACCTCCTACTGGGGATGTGCCCACAACCAAGGTACATGCCCTTGACCAGAATCAAACCTGGGACCTTTCAGTCCGCAGGACAATGCTCTATCTACTGAACCAAACCGGTTTGGCAGCATTGCACTTTTTAACTGGTGATCAGATCAGAAACCCTTAGGGGAACTGTTTTAAACTAGATACCTGGGCTCCATCTGTGTCGTGATTAGCGCTGTGACTGATGGGATGCATGCCTTCTTGCTGAGCTCTGCTGGCCAGAGGATCAGCAGGGAAGCCATCTTCTGTACCTGGAGAATCAGTGCTTCTTCAGAACATGCCCTACAATGGCCATATCTGTCTGGTTGCTATAATAGATGAGAACATTGATACAAGCAAGTAAACTGGGTAGCAGGGTTTGATAAGAGTACAAAGATTGATGAGCTTATGGTAAAGAACTGTGGTTACAAAACCTGCTAGAAGTAAAGGAGGAGAGAAAGCAAGAAAAAGCAATAGAGCCCTGGCCAGGTGGCTCAGTTGGTTGTAGTGTCATCCCATACACCAAAAGATGGAGGGTTGATTCCTGGTCAGGGCACATATCTAGGTTGTGGGTTTGATCTCCAGTTGGAGCACAACCAATCAGTGTTTCTCTCTCACACTGATGTCTCTCTCTCTCTCTCTCTCTCTCTCTCTCTCACACTGATGTTTCTCTCTCTCTCTCTCTCTCTCTCTCTCTCTCTTTCTCTTCCTTTCTCTCTCTTTAGAAAACAAACGAAACAAAAAAACATATCCTCAGGTGAAAATTAAAAAAAAAAGGATAAAAGCATTAGAATTGATTTAATCATTTGAAACAACTTTTTGTTTTCTTTTGTTATAGAGTAGTCTCAGAAAAGGTTTGAAGAACGTGAAAATGTGAGTATCATTATGCATTGAATTTAGTTTGAAATGAAGTTTTCTTTCAGACTTAGTCTGTCAACCTTATTTATTAACTCGAGTATTTGTAGAGTGTTGTACATCCTTATTTGAGTAGGGTTTTAACCTTTTGCGCTCCAACGTCGAGGCTGACTCGACAGACCAGGCGCTAGTAGCAGGTCCAACATCAAGTTGGTGATTGAGCTAATTGGCAATTTCCGCCAGGGAACTACTGCAACCAAGAGAGGAAGGACTTCCAATTTGGACCAGACTGTTTGAATTCCAAAAATAAAATTGGAGCGCAAAGGGTTAAAAGTAGAAAGCATTGCCCTGGCTAGTATGGCTCAGCTGGTTGAGTGTTTTCCCATGCACTCAAAGGTAACTGGTTAGATTCCCATTCAGGACACCTTCCCAGGTTGCTGGTTCAGTCCTTGGTGGGTGCAGGAGGCAGCTGATTGATTTTCTCTCACATGAATGTTTCTCTCCCCCTCCCTCCTCATACTCTCAAATTGATAAAGACATATTTTTAAAAAGTAGAGAGCATGGTTAAAGATCACAAAAAGCTTGAATGTACAAACAAATAATTTTAAATATGCAGAGAAATTGTTGTACGCACACTGTACACGGTAGACATAAAGGCCTACGGGGATCTTGCTAGAGTAATTGGTTAAGGGAAGTGGGCTTGGCGAGAGATTTTCAAGAGAAGTGCATTATTCTGCAGATAAACAGGTAGAGTAGAAATGGTGTAAACTCAGGTAAGAAATAAAAAGATCAAATGCTATCAAATGTTGATTCAAAATATAAAAAATCTAGTAATAAGCTCTGGAAACAGGCCAAGTGCCCATCAGTAGCTGAGTGGATGAAAAAGCGGTGGTGCATTTATGCAGTGGAATACTACACAGCTATAAAAAAGAAGGAGCTCTTACCTTTTGCAGCAGCATGGATGGACCTGGAGATTATTATGCTAAGTGAAGCAAAGTTAAAAAAAAGCATAGTACATGGCATAAAACCACTCTAAGCAAGTTACATTTGATTTCAATTTTATTTGAATTTTACATTCTTCTCTAATTTTTAGAAATTTGGCGCCTAAGTTTGACTCTCCTGTAAATGAGCATACTGTGGATGAGAGGTAAGAAAGAACTGTAAAACAGAATTTGCTTAGAGATATGTTTGTTTATTCCACAAAAGTTTCATAAGGAACTGTTGTACATCAGACAGGCTGTATATACTAGTATTTCCACCTGAAATTATTTTGGTACAGTCAGGCCCACAGCAGATCATTGTATCTAAAAGTAAAGTTTTGACAAATCTAAATGGAATGTGATGATGTAGATCTGTGTGATGCTTATGTGGGTTTCTCTGAGATCTGTGGAAGTTTTTAATATTGAAAGCAAATATTCCTATAAACCAGTGATTCCTCCCCCCCCCAAAAAAAAGTACTCTTGCCATAATCAGAATAGTACCACTTGAATCTGTTTTTCATTTTCCAGTTTTCACTTTGAAAAAGGATGTCTCTTGTAGTAGATCATTTGTTTGGGTTCAAATAAAAGAGGCCTATTTGCAACAAAAGAACATTGCAAATAAGTTTAAAAATAACAATAAAGAGCCCTAGTTGGTTTAGCTCAGTGGATAGAGCATCAGCCTGCAGACCGAAGAGTCCCTGGTTTGATTCTGGTCAAGGGCACATACCTTGGTTGCAGGCTCCTCCCCAGCCCCGGACCTAGTCAGGGTGCATGCAGGAGGCAACCAGTCAATGTGTTTCTCCCACATCAATATTTCTCTCTGTCTTTCCCTCTCTCTTCCACTCTCTCTAAAAATCAATGGAAAAATATTCTTCAGTGAGGATTAAAAAAAATTGAAAAATTTAAAAAGTAAATTCAATACTAAAACAAACAAAAAACCAATAAAGAATCCACATCTATCAAATAACTGCCTAATATATAGCTGGCACTGTGCTGGGCATTGGCAGTGGGTTTATAGTAGGAACAAATAGAACAGCTCTTGCCCTCATAGAGTTTTGTGGGGTTGAAAATTACCTGAAAAGTCTGTAATTACAAACTATGGTCAGAGGCCTGAAAGATGAGGCGGCACAGGGAGGTGGGAAGATGAAGATAGGACAGGAGACGTGAGGGTTCAAGGAGCAGAGAGAAGGTTCTGTGCTTGGAATGCAGTGAAAATGGGCACTGTGCCAGGGCACAAGCTGGAGAGGGAGCAGAGGCCCCATCACAAGGCCCCATGGAGGCCATTTAACGACTTTCCATTTGTTGCTGAATGCAAAGCTAGGCTATTGGCGGTTAGGCAATAGAGAGGCATGATTGCACTGGTTGCTGCGTGGATTATGATTGAATGGGAGGAGGAGAGAAAGTGGAGAGTCCGGTTAGCAAGGTCCTGCAGGAGCCTGGTGGAAGCTTTGACTGAGGTGAAGATGTCAGATGGGAAAAGTGGGCCGATACCAGTGATACGTTTTAGAAGTAGAATTGGCAGGTCTTTGTGATAGAATTAGAGGTCTATGAGCCAGGCTGGCCCTGAGCACCTGCTCATTTCTCTTATAATAGCTTGATGGTAGCCGTGGAACACAATATGGTGCTTTTTTTTCTAAAATTTTATGCTTGTGAGAAGATTCTTTCTCATGGCAGTTGTACAGCCAGGAGTTGCCTGTGTCTCCCAGGGATGATCTGTTGTGTTGAGAGGAGGTGGGGGAGGAACGATCCTTTGTGTGTGGAGCGGGCCCTTCTTACTCAGAAGTGGGGAGGCAAGTTTGTTATATAGTCCATTTCATCAGTGGCCTTAAGGGAGAGTGGAAGGGGTGGGGGCCAGCTAGCGTTGGATCTTAGAATAACAGTGGCGTTTATCCTTTAAGGTTTATCAAGGATTTTGAAGAAATAGCACCAATTGGCTCTGGTGCATATGGCAGTGTTTTCAAAGCAAAACACAGAATTGATGGGACAACTTACGTTATTAAACGTGTTAAATACAATAACGAGTAAGTAGCCAATGTTTTGTTTCATTATTTTAAATAAGAAGATACGTTGAATGTACTATTCTTTTTTATGTATCTGTCTTCTTCATGAGTATATTATTTACTTTTTCCCAGTCCTCCTTAAAAATGTTACTCTAGGCTGGCTGGCATGGCTCAGTTGCGAGTCCACCTATGAACCAGGAGGTCACAGTTTGATTTCCGATCAGGGCACATGCCCAGGTTGCGGGCTAGATCCCCAGTAGGGGGTGTGCAAGAGGCAACCAGTCATTGATGTTTCTATCTCTCTTTCCCTCTCCTTTCCTCTCTGAAATCAATTTAAAAAATATATTTTTAAAAAATGTTATTCTATCATCAGGAGCTTGGCTTACTCAGAGCATGAGGTGTTAGTCCAGTGGGGTCAGACTGGACCTGGGTTCAGTAACCTCGGTACTTGAGTTCTGGCTAAAAAAGCCAAGACTCCATTTATGAGAGAAAATCACAGAGGTGGAAGAAGTAATTCATAGAAGAAATGGGATTAGGAAACAAGTGATAGAGGCAAAGGAAGGGTCCTTGAAGTTTGGGAATTAGGAAGGTAATGGTAACACGCTGGGGGGATGGGGATGGGGATGGGGAGGGAGAGGGGAAGATGCAGGCCTGCTCCTGGGAGGGAGAGCTCACGGAGTCCTCAGTCCTAAGGGTTTTATGGGTGGAGATTTTAGGGAAGGTCCCAGGAGAAGATCTTAATAGAATATTCAACAGCTTTCCAGGTGTGTCCTTTCAAGGTCAAGGTCTCCACTGATTGGTCAGTGCCAATGCAGCTGGTCCTGAGGTCAGCCATGAGATCACTTATTTGGTTTTGCTGCTTTTCTCGGCCTGGAGCTGAAATACAACTGAGGCCTAGATGTTATCTCTAGGGAGGAAAGGTTAGGGATTCCAAAATGCATGACCAGCAATATGCTAGGAGGAGGAAAGGTCACCTGGCGGCAAGGTGTCACCCTACAATTGTCCTTTTCTAGGCACCCAAGGCTTTTCCCTTTAGTGACCTTCTGTACCTGACCCATAGTCCTTGCTCTCTCTGCTCAGGTCTGTCTAACTGCCTACCACAATTCCGTTAAGGCTGTCTTGATGAAAACGCAAGTTATAGAGTCATTTAGCTCAAGGTGACCTTTGAGATTTTCTAGTTTCATCTCCTGACTCGTTTTCCAGCAATTGTTACTTCGTCTAAGTTGGCCAGACTGATTCTTCAAAGACAAGAGAAGGGCGGAAAAGGTGGAAAAGAGATATGTAGAGTGGGCTGAGCAAAGGAGAAACAGTCAAAGAGTCCCAGGTGCCCTTCATCCCAATCAAACCTACTTCCTGTCCAAGGACAATACCTTGCTTGGCTTTGGAAACACCTTTATGCTTCTTGGCATCAAAACAAGCTTTTTCCTTCTTCACTGTTTTGCTTAACAAGAATGAAATATTGTTGTTCCTTCCATTCAGTAGCAATTTTTTAGTGGAAATACTTAATGAAGATCATGGTGCAATATTAGGGGACATTAGTAGTGGCTTCATAAATTGGTAGAACACAGTTAAAATATACTTGGAAATAATAATCCAGAGCCATAATAATTTTTATACACTTTGACTTATGGATTTTCTGTCTGGGAACCTATTCTAAGGATATTGCCCAAATTAAGGAAAAAATAACTATGTAAGAGAATATAAATACAGTGTTGTTTATAATAGTGAAGAATTAGAAAACACAAAATATCTAACAATAAAGGAATGAATAAGGATGTTTTGTTTTCTCTCCCCTGATCAGTGGCTATTTTAAAGTCATTAAAAATGAGGGTGATATGCTGAAAATATTTACACATGAAATCATAGGATACTGAAAGTAGCTTCAGAATAATACAGGGGAAGATGAGGAAGTGGGTAAGAGTACATATGAAATTAACAACTCTTTCATCTGGGTGATGGCTAGGTAGGGGTTCATTATACTATTTTGCTCTGTTTTTGTTTTGTTTTTTTAAATATACTTTTGAAATATTACATTAAAATGTTTATATGCCCTAGCTGGTTTGGCTCAGTGGATGGAGTATCAGCCCTCAGACTGAAGGGTCCTGGGTTCGATTCTGGTCAAGGACCTATACCTTGGTTGCAGGCTCAATCCTATGTCCTGGTTGGGGACGTGTGGGAGGCAACCACTTGATGTGTCTCTCTCACATCAATTTTTCTCTCTTTGTCTCTCACCATCCCTTCCACTCCCTCTAAAAATCAATAGAAAAATATCTTCAGGTGAGGATTAACTAAAACTAAAACTAAAAATTATAAAGTTTATACATGTTAGTTATGCAGACTGTAAAACAATAAGGAAAATTATAAAGATAACATGAGAAAAAATATTATCTAAAACTAGTAGCCCTGTGCATGAATCCATGTGCCAGTAGCTCGCTGCTGCCCTCCAGTAGCTCTCTCCCACTGCCCCGCCCTCCTGTAGCTCCCCCATCGCCCCTCCCACGTGCCCTCCCTCATAGCTCGCTGCCCTGCCCACTCCTGTTAGCTCTCCAGAGCCCACTTGTAGCTTGCTACCCCCACCCCTCCTGCTGATCCATGATCTGGGTCGTTATGCATTCGGGTTGTTATGGCTTTCATGGGCATAATGACCCATTTGCATATTACATATTTTATTATATAGGATAATAGAAAGCGTAATATGCTAATTTAGACAAAGACATCCCTTCCCGGGCGGTCCCTTTCCAAGACAAACCCTTCTGGACGAAGCTGGGGGCTGCACCCGGAAGGATCCGAAGGCAACGCAGCTGCTGGGCTGCGAAGCGCCTACTCTTGCACCAATTTCATGCATCGGGCCTCTAGTACACTAAAATTACAAATATATAAAAATATAAAGACAAATGATAAAAAATAACTCCAAGTAATACCTGATTGTGTTAGGATTGTCAATAATGAGTAACTTCTCTTTATTTTTACAAATTGTATGTCATATAAATAATTTTTCAAAATAAAGACTGAAATTGCACAATGTCTGCTTATCCTTTCTCATAATTGAGATTTCAGATTCGTTTATTCCATTGAGCATAGAATTGTCTCCACTTCTGACTGCACATCCCTGTAAAGCTCCCACATGAACAGCAAAGTCTCCCATTTCGCTGTCTGGATCCTCTCCTTTGTGTTTCTTTGCCACACACTGGAAATTCCGAATTAGACCCTTCTTACTGCCTGGGTTACCTACCCATGCTGTCCAAATGGGGTTTGTTTTGAAACTCAAAGTGACTTTAGCACAAGTCTAAATAAGACATAATGTGTGAATTAGCTGCCATAATTATATCATTGGCATTTCAAAGACTACAGACAGTCCTTGGGTTACGTCGGACTCGGCGTAAGTCATTTCGTGGTTACGTCGCCATCTCCCATTTATTTATTTAAAAAAAAGGTTTCATCATTTCGATGTATGTACATATGTGCTTTATGTTTTCTATTATTTATTTACCACAAGTAAAGGTCAGGAGTTGTTATCTTTCTTTTAAATGTTTTTTACTGTTTCACTTCATCACTGCTGTGTATGTGCTCCATGTGACTGACATAGGTCTGTGGTCGGCAAACTGCGGCTCGCAAGCCACATGTGGCTCTTTGGCCCCTTCAGTGTGGCTCTTCCACAAAATACCACGTGCGGGCATGCACGTACAGTGCGATTGAAACTTCGTGGCCCATGCGCAGAGGTTGGTATTTTGTGGAAGACCCACACTGAAGGGGCCAAAGAGCCCACTGAAGGGACCAAAGAGCCGCCTCTAGCATGACAAAGCTCTATTTTAAATGCAAGGCTGAAACTTGTCTAATGCACAAAGTATTATCATTTTGGAAAGTAAAATCCTGATTAATTAAGGTCTTATAGGAAAGTTACATTTGATACTAACAACTTTATTTGAATTACTTTAATTCATTAAAAAACAAAGCAAACAAGGAAACAACAAAAAAGCCAGGATAAATCTTCTGATTAACTGACACCTGGTGATTTCTAGAAACTCCCTAAGAATTGTGTAGCATACAAGAGAATATAACTATCCATGCTGGTGAAGGTTAAGGAGATGTTACAGTAATGTGTACAAAACACACAATTTTCATCCATTACAAGGAGAAGCTAAGGAGTAGTTTCCAGTATGTTTTATCCTTTTGAAGGGTAACAATGTGCCTACTATACCCTATCTTAACGACTGAC